ACCTTACCCGGCCTCTCAGAGGATCCCTCAGTGGTGGGGCGGCTTAAGGTTGAGGAGCAGCGAGTGCCGATTGCTACCGGGATGGTGCAGCGGCGGCAGTACTGCACCAACCGAGATTCCCTGGTCCCCATCCATCAGCTGATCCGTCAACTAGAAAGCCAGAAGGTGATCAGCAAAACTCACTCCCCCTTCAACAGCCCTATATGGCCAGTGAGAAAGCCTAATGGCGAATGGAGGCTAACTGTGGGCTACCGTGGCCTGAATGAAGTTACGCCAGCAATGAGTGCTGCACTGCTGGACATGATGGAGCTCCAGTATGAACTGGAGTCCAAGGCAGACAAGTGGTACACCCTGATTGACGCTGCTAACGTGTTCTCTCCATTCCGATAGCGCCAGAGTGCAAGCCACAGTTTGCGTTCACTTGGAGAGGCATCCAGTACACCTGGAATCGATTGCCCCAGGGGTGGCACCACAGCTCCACCATTTGCCATGGACTGGTCCATACTGCACTGGAGAAAGGTGGGGCTCCAGAACACCTGCAGTATATTGATGACATCATTGTATGGGGGAACACAGCCGAGGAAGTCTTTGTGAAAGGGAAGGATATAATTGAAATCCTCCTGAAGGCCGGCTTTGCCATTAAGCAAAAGAAAGTTAAGGGGCCTGCAAGGGAAATTCAGTTCCTAGGGATAAAATGGCAAGATGGGTGTCACCACATCCCAATAGAGGTGATAAACAAGATAACAGCCATGGCCCCACCAACCTCTAAAAAGGAGACTCAGTCTTTCCTGGGTGCTGTGGGGTTCTGGAGGATGCACATCCCGAACTACAGCCTGATTGTGAGCCCTCTCTACAATGTAACCCATAAGAAGAACGATTTTGAATGGGGCCCTGGGCAACAACAATCCTTTGAACAGATTAAACGGGAGATTGCCCAAGCAGTAGCCCTCGGGCCAGTCCGGGAAGGGCAGGAGGTTAAGAACATGCTCTACACTGCAGCCGGGGAGAATGGCCCTACCTGGAGCCTCTGGCAGAGAGCACCTGGGGAGACCCGAGGCCGACCTCTGGGCTTTTGGAGCCGGGGATACAAAGGCTCTGAAGCTAATTGCACACCAACTGAGAAGGAGATACTGGCAGCGTACGAAGGAGTTCGTGCTGCCTCAGAAGTGGTCGGCACTGAAACACAGCTCCTCCTGGCACCCCGACTGCCGGTGCTGGGGTGGATGTTCAAAGAAAGGCTTCCTCCACACTTCATGCAACCGATGCCACGTGGAGTAAATGGGTTGCGTTGATAACACAACGGGCTCGAATAGGGAACCCCAGCCACCCAGGGATACTAGAGGTGATTACGGACTGGCCAGAGAGCAAAGATTCCGGGATGTCACCAGAACAGGAGGTGACACGTGCTAAGGAGGCCCCACCATATAACAAGCTGCTGGATGAGGAGAAGCGATATGCCCTGTTCACTGATGGGTCGTCTTGTATTGTGGGAAAACATCGACGATGGAAGGCTGCTGTGTGGAGTCCCACACGACGGGTCACTGAAGCTGCTGAGGGACAAGGTGAATCGAGCCAGTTCTCAGAGGTGGAAGCCGTCCAGCTTGCTTTGGATATTGCTGAGCAGGAAAAGTGGACGAGGCTCTACCTCTACACTGACTCCTGGGCAGTGGCGAATACCCTGCGGAAATGGCTGCAGCAATGGAAGCAGAACAACTGGCAACATACAGGTAAAACCGTCTGGGCTGCTGAAGTATGGCAGGACATTGCAGCCCGTGTGGAGAACCTCGTTGTGAAGGTGCACCATGTGGATGCCCATGTACCCAAGAGTCGGGCCACTGATGAACATCGACACAACCAGCAGGCAGGCCAAGCTGCTCAGATTAGAGTGGCTCAGGTGGACTTGGACTGGCAGCGCAAAGGTGAACTGTTCATAGCCCGGTGGGCCCATGAGACCTCGGGCCACCGAGGTAGAGATGCAACATACAGGTGGGCTCGAGATCAAGGGGTGGATCTCACCATTGACACCATTGCAGAGATCATCCATGGATGTGAGATGTGTGCTGCAATCAAACATGCCAAGCGGGTGAAGCCCCAGCGAAATGGAGAGCGATGGCTGAAATATAGATATGGAGAGGCCTGGCCGATCGACTCCATCACACTGCCACAGACCCGCCACAGGAAGCGCCACGTGCTCACAATGGTGGAAGTAACCACTGGGTGACTGGAAGCTTACCCAGTGCCCCATGCCACCGCCCGGAACATCATCCTGGGCCTTGAGACCCAAGTCCTGTGGCGACACGGCACCCCAGAGAGAATTGAGTCAGACAACGGGACCCACTTCCGAAACAACCTCATAAATGCCTGGGCAGAAGAACACGGCATCGAGTGGGTCTGCCATATCCCCTACCACGCACCAGCCTCCAGGGAGATTGAGTGCTACAATGGACTGTTAAAAACCACATTGAAAGCACTGGGAGGTGGCACCTTCAAAGACTGGGACATGCATCTAGCAAAGGCCACCTGGCTCGTCAACACAAGAGGATCTGCCAGTCGAGCTGGCCTGGCTCAGTCGAGACCTCCACGTGCTGTAGATGGGGATAAAGTCCCTGTGGTGCGCATGAGGAATATATTGGGAAAAATGGTCTGGTTTAGTCCTGCGCCAGGCAAAGGTAAAGGCAAACCCATCCACGGGATTGCTTTTGCCCAAGGACCTGGGTGTACCTGGTGGGTGATGCAGGACAATGGAGAGGGCCGATGCGTACCTGTGAGAGCCGAGCAACCAGGCCTGTGAAAAACTAAGACAAACAGCCTGGGAAAGCAAAAGTTGAGGCTGATTGAAGATTTGCCTCAAACACTCCCAAGACAAAACCATGAATCACAGGGTGCTTTCTGTGGAGGCCGAAGCTGATAAGGCTGCCCGATGTATCTGGGGGAGAGAGCCCTGTGGAGATGGGACGGCTCTGCCCTGGGGCACCTGGGCAGATTTCAAGGGCCATGTGTCCGGTGAACGAACTTTGCTTCATTATCCACGAAATGCATATTAAAGTTGACACCCCTCAATATGCTAACGAGGGCTGTCCTGATCATGCTAGTGACATCATCCCATGAAACACCTTATCCCTCCCTGTACATGGGATACGTAGGTCTGTGGGTTGACCTAGGGGATGGACCCAAGAAAAGTGGGTATAAATCAAAGGGGAGAAGAAAGGGCTCTCGCTCTCTCTCTGCCCCTCTTCCTGCCCCCCCCAGGCCGTCTGGAGAGAGCAGTGAAGCAAAGACGGATGCCAGCGAAGAAGATGGCTGCCTCCTGGAATCCTCGCCGGCAGGAGCAGCGCAGGAACCCAGACCGGTGATCTGTACTCCCCCATTCCCTCTATCTCCCTCTTTTCCTTTTTTTTTCTGTTAAGAAATGTAAAGCATATTATATTGCTTGCCACAGCTTGCTCTGTACTTAGCCAATTATCATGTGTTCAATTAGTGCATTGTAGGTAGTTAATAAATGCTTGAACTTGGAGACTTGTTGTCCGCTCCAATTGGGGATTTGCGAATCTGAGTCACTTGTCCCCCTCGCTGGAGCGGGACGTGACAGTACCACAGGGGGACTTGATTCTGGGTGAGAACATGCCGTGAACTATGCTGTGCCTTTGTAAATTATTGTTTTGTTATTGTTAACTGCTAAATGGCAGCTGGACATGACGCAGATGGTATAGAATAAAGGGGTGGGTTATGTCCTGGTTCAGCTGGGATAGGGTTAAGTTTCCCCAGCAGAGAGGGGGAAGGGATCTCCAGGCGGGTTATTCATACCATGCTGACATCAGGTCCGGGCGCGGGAGTGCGAGAACTTTTTCCTTTGTGGCTTTGGTCGCGGGGAGCACACGAGCGAGCTGTCTGTAACCATTGCGGTATTTCTCTGTATATCTTTTGTCTTGTTTACTGTTATAACTGTTTATTGTTGTTATCATTGCTACTGTTGTTGTTCAGATTGTTTATCACACTGTTGTATTAAATTTATTCTTATTTTAACCCAAGGTTTGTGCCCTACTTGTGTCTGAGGGTAGGGGACGGACAACGGCAATGTGGTCTCTGGTCCTGGCAGGGCCTAAACCAACACAATGCTGTTAAAAGCTTCCTTAGTTTTCAAATAGATTAGGAAGCTGTTTACCATCCTTATGTAGTATCAATGCACAGTTCTGTTTCATTCTGTATACAAACAATTATTTTCTATCAAAAAGCCTCCATCAAAAATCTTCTCTATCAAAGTTTTACCTATACCCACCCAGTAAGAGCCTAAAATTTCTTGGTTTTCAATGTATTTTGAAAAAACTCCTTCCAAGTGCCATTATCACTTGCAGCAATCCAGTTTTTCCAGATGATTTTGAACACTCCTTATCACCTTCTATGCTTCATAAATTCTCACTTTTATTGGGTGCCATATACCTCTTTTCCATCCACACCTTTCTTCTGCTTTTATCCCACTGTTGGCTATATTCTCTTACCTTCAAATTCCCTGTTAGGCCAGAAAAGCATTTAATCGTGTCTGTCTTTTTACAGCTGCAGAAGCACAGATTTTCTCCACCTTGTAAACTTCAAGCAGTGAAATTTCTATTAAAAACGCTATTGTAACTTGCTCCTGGAGAGTCATATTTTTCTGATTGTTTGATTTGCAAGCAGTTTAACACATAACTTCCTCTGTTTGAGGATTTACGATTTTGAAGCACCAGTTTTGCCTACATATTTGCCCAACTTCACAGTTAAAGCACACACATACATAAATATCTTACTTAAATGCCTGCCTCATGGGCATTAACCAAATGTACCTATGTACATCTACAGATACACACCCACATACATGTGTAAATGTTGTATACCTACTTACATGTACACATACATACATACAGATATTTGTATACACACATACATACATACAGTCATACAAACACTCATCTATATACAATTTAATTTTCCCTGAAACTGGAGAAGAGACATTTCTAAAAAGGTATGCATGTTGCCTCTAATGGAGTATCCCAGCAAAGAGCTGATGTTATCAGTGTTGCCCTCCCAAGATAAAGACATGTTTTTTGGTGAGTCCACCTCTGAACAGTCACTCAACAACTCCATCACAGGCAGCCCTACTCCTTCCATACTGACCAATAGCTCCATTTATTAATATTTGGACAGGGCTGGTTCTCCTGAGCAGGATGTGTCAACAGACGGGAGACAAAGGAATGCAGGTGGGTGACACAAGGGTTTCTTCTATTCTGAAGCCCTAAGAGGTTGGTTTTGCTGAAAAGGAGAGAGGAAAAAGAAAAAAAGAAGATTCAGGAAGACCAAAATATCACCTCATGCTGCCTTCCACCCAAAATGAGTCTTCAGCTCATCCACTCCCCAACTCTCTCTCCAGGATATCCTGACCTCCATCTCTCCTGAGAAGGGATGCAGGGGGATTGGAAGATGCTCCTTGCTGCATCTCAGACGTGAAGGAAGTGGCTCAGCATTTTAAACTCATACCTGTTCTTCTCCTGAGCACAATGAAGAGGACAACGATGAAAATGACAGTAGCAATGAAAACTCCCGCCAGTCCTTCTGATCCCGTTTGCTCTGCAGAGGAAGTGGAGGATCAGTGACGTTAGGTTGGCTGGGGCGGCTGGACAGCCATCGAGTTGTCACCGTAAAAGGGGCTTCCCCAGCAACCAACCGTGTGCCTGCTCTTGTCAAGTACACAGATGTGACACAATACACATGAGCCACACAGACCCAGGGCAAGTTATACTGGCTGGACTGATGTCTTGTAACTTGTTAAACTGCAGGATTGCTGCTTTTCCCTCTTGGGTCAGGAGGAGACACAGGAGCAATCTCCCATCAGCAAAAAGAGCGAGAACCTCAACAACTCCAACAGGGGAAGGATTAACCACCTGAAAGGAGGTTGCAGAGAGGTAAGGATGAGTGTCTTGAACCAAGGAACAAGTGACAGGATGAGGGAATGGCCTCAAGCTGCACCAGGGAAGGTTTAGACTGGCTATTAGCAAGTATTTCTTTCCCAAAAGGGGTTGTTGGGCATTGGAATGGGCTGCCCAGGGCAGGGGGGGAGTCCCCATCCCTGGAGGGGTTGAAGAGTTGGGTTGACCCAGCGCTGAGGGATCTGGTGGAGTTGAGAACGGTCAGTGTGAGGTTAATGGTTGGACTGGATGATCTTCAAGGTCTTTTCCAACCTAGAAGATTCTGTGATTTTGATTTTTGCTATTCTCGAGCAGCATCAGTCTACAGCTGAACATCAAGTCCAGCTGGGTGTCTAACTCCTTGGGGCATAGCCGTTTTCTTGTGCTGGTCCAGTGGGGTCCAGCTCATATGCTACAAACATTTGTTCTGTTGCTCCACATTTGGTTTTGGTCATAAAATCTCTTTTTCCCTGAAGGAAATGAGATACTTGCTCCCCAAAAGCTTCAGAGAGTGAAATAAAAGCTGAGGAAGGGAAAGGTAAGAGGAGGACCGGGGGGATGGGTGTGAGAGGACACCAGAAGAAAAGTTCGGAAAAACAGGCAGATGTGGTGTGACTCAGAGGTTCTGATCCTTGTGGTGGTTAGATGAGGTGGGAGGAGGTCTGGGCAGGATGAAGAACTCATTCTTTTGCCCCTGACACCTACCTGGTGCCTTAAGATGGGCACTCACAGAGATGGGCTCTGCTAGGGCCATGTGTGAAACATGGCAGCTATAGGTGGCTGGTGCCCGTGCTGTGGCTGAGCTGATGCTGAGGTAGGAGGTGATGCTGTAGGTGCCATCTTGGCTTTGCTGGTCGCTGGAGAAACGTGCATTTGAGAGAGGGATTTCCATGTCATCTTCAGGAGTCTTCTGTGTCCAGCTCACCAAGACATCCAGGGGGTAAATTTTGCAGCTCAGAGTAGCCATCATGTCTCTCTCGAATGACACCACTGCTGGAATGACACAAACTCTTGGAGGCTCTGGAGGAGATAAACAGGGAATTGACTTATTGTTAGCGGAGTACAAAAGTCCCCATCCACAAGGTAGACAAGACAAGCTGCCTGTGATGATGGATATTAGAAGTGATGGGATAAGGGTGCAGGGAAAAATTTCAGTGCCTGGGGACACAGGACTCCTGTTGCCCCCAGGCACTTCCCTTCCTCACCAGCCACACGCAGCTGGATGATGTGCTGGCTCTGGTGCAGCGGGGTGGACACCAAACAGATGTACGTCCCTTCATCTCCCACACTCACTCCTTGCAGGCTAAGTGATGCATCTCCACTCCCCAGCAGCTCCCCCACATCCACATGGACTTTTGGCTGTGCTGCTGGGCCTGTGCTCCCCACCTGATACCGGAAAAGGCTACGGCCACTACCTTGCTGCTGCCTCCTCCACTCCAGGGAGGACAGTGAGGAGCTGGTAGCCAAGGCGAAGCGACAGTCAAGGGTGACTGAGCTGCCAAGATGTGTGCGCAGGCAAGTGTTGCGTGAAGACGATTGAAATTCAACTGGAAAGGAAACACAGGCAAGCAGACTGTTAATCAGATGTGGTGGTTAAAGAAGGCACCCTCCTGTGGGAAGGGGTGGCAGTGAACTGCCCACCCGGAGGAGGAAGCACAGGCACCCTGTTCAATGCCACCGGGACCATGTAGACAGAAATGCTGGAGGAAGCCAGCTCCAGTGGGGTTAGCAAGGCAGGGAGACAGGTGGACACCAAGTGCATATCATGGTCTTGAAGGTGCTTGTCATCTTCTGGGGCTGGGGTATGGGAAACCCTGAGAGGAGGCAGGGTTGGGGCAACATGCATGAGCCCTTTTTTCCTAAGCACAACTCCTGACAGTCCTGAGGTCCTGGTGTGAGGTGGGGCACAGGACTCTTAGGGAGTCCCTTGGTGCTGTGGGGGCACCCAGTCACCTGTAGTCAACAATGTCCCCTCCTTGCTCATAGGTATCTTCAGCTTTGGGTGCAGTGTTGTGTCGTGCTCTTTCTCCTCCTCCTGGCTGCTGCAGTGGAGTCCTCTGAGCACCAGGGCGATACTGATCCCGCTGGAGAGCCGCAGGGTGGCCATGAACCAGGAGGCAGGGCAGGGCCCCTCGCTAGCCTGCTGGGAGCTGTACTGGGACATCTCACAGGTCACCTCCTCCCCCTGCAGCAGGGCCTCTGTGTGTGGGATGGATATCAACTGGGCTGTGGGGATAGAGGAGAAGGTTTAACCATTGGAATCCAAATGGGAAAGAAAGTGCAAGATGATGAGACACATTTTGGAGAAGCATCATCCACTGTGGTGGTTAGTCAGAGCCCAGAAATGCCAGGCTAGGCTTAATAGATGAAGACCTGAAAAGAGTATGAGAGGTTTGTCATGACTGTCTTACATCTCTCAGTCTGTTGGTTTTATTTTATCCTGCCAGATTACACAGAGTTCATGCTGGGCAAAGGAAGCTGTTAGGAAAGGAGAATAAACAGAACAGAGTCCCTTAAGCTAGCTCAAGGGAATGTGTATGTGAAATGCCTAATAAAGACCTGCAATGTTTATCCTTTTTAGGTCTGAATCCAGAAACAAAGAGGACACTGAAGCATCCCAGGTAAGGAAAGAAAGGGTGGCAGGAAGGCAGGAGTGGCTGGATGTAGACACACTGAATCTGTGCCTTAGTCCATAGCATGGGCTTAAGCACAAGTGTAAGCATCCTAGTGATCTATAAGCTTTCCACAGACATCACTGGAAATTGCAATGTCTGCAATGTGCTTAGCCTCACCCACGCCCAGTCCATCCATGCTCCTTGAAGAAGGGCATGGACCCAGGCTAATGGATCCTGCTGAGACTTCGGCTCTCTGAAAATGTCTCAAATAAGCTTGTACAGGAGCACATGCTCACAGATAACCACTGTAGGTGTCAAACAAGACCCTAGTGAAGTACAGACTCAGACATCTGCTTGACTGTGTTTGCAAAATTACTCATGAAGCAAGGGCTACAGAGGCTGGACTGTAGGTTGGCACCCATGAGTGATTTAAGGAGAGCTGAGTCACACACTGTTGGCCTTCTGCCACATGCTCACTTATTACCATGCTTCCTGCTACCAAAAAACACCCGCATGACTGAAGATGTGAATGCTCTTTATGGGTGCAATAATACTGTATAGTGGAATAATTCCTAAATTGTTTTTGACAAAGTATTTCCCAAGAGATAGAGAACCCAGGATAGCCCCAGTAGGAGAAAGGTGCCTCAACGGGGTTTGCTAACATCTTCCACAAAGCTCCTTCCTTGAAGTTTCAACTGCTGAACTGAATTTAGGAAATCATGCATGAAACTTCAGTGGCCATTCAAAAATTAATTGTTTAAACTCAGTTAAAGAAAAATCTTGTAGAATCCTGGTGCATGTAAGTGGTCCAAACCCCAGTGGTATCTCTCCCAGCCCAGCTCCCCAACTCACCTGAGGCTTCAAAGACAATGGGAAGAGTCAGGATTTTCCTGTGGGACTTTGTACTCAGTTACATCATCCAAGTTCCCATCATCTCTGACGCGGATACCCCTCAGCACGAGGGTGGCAGGATGCTCGGAGGATAAGGCACTGAAAGCACGCAGCAAGCCTCTTACACCTTCGCCCACATAGGAGCAGCCCAGAGCAATATCCACCCTGCGAAACGGAGGCGCTGGTGTGGGTGCTTGCGCTGGCCCTTTAGGGAGAGAAAAGAGCTGGTTAAATGCATGAACCCCACTGCAAACAAGAGTGTATGAGCTTCTCTGGGATGGGGGATAAATATCGGGAGGCGGGGGGCTGCCTGCCTGCCACTTTGGGGTTCTTCTCCCAGTCCTGCAGGCAGCAGCCCCCTCTAGCCGCACAGCCCCCTCCTCTGGGAACAGCGTTAACCTTTAGGAAGACCCTGGTTTTCCCTAGACCTTCACAGAAGGGGTGGGGTGGGGGTGAGCGCAGGAGGAGCCCCGGGTCCCCCCGCCCCAGCCACTCACCCGCTGCCGGGGCCAGCAGGGCCCTGCACAGCAGCAGCCCCCCGGCCATCCATCCCCGCATTGCAATGCCCCCCCTGGCCGTCCAGCCCCGCATCACCTCCCTGGCCTCCTCCGAACGCGGGAACCCTCGCGAGAAGCAAACCCGACCCCAGCTGCTTCGTTTCACTTTCGCTCTGACAAAGCAGAAGCGGGCGAGAGAAAGTCACCGACCCATCCGTTAAACCTGTTAATTCTTGCTTTGCCACACGCAGGAGACCTGAGGCAGCAGGGAAGCAGGGCCGCGACCAGCCGGGATCGAGGAGCATCCCCAAGTCTGAGCTTGGGCTGCTTTTGCCGCATTCCTCTTCAAGTCAGTCTTAGAACAGCCTTTCCCACCGTGCTGCTGCGTGCAAGCTCATCTCCTCCAGACCTGCTGAGCAGCCTCTGCAAGCAGTCACCTCTGTCTGCTTGCTTTTTGACTGTCTTAGTGAAACTTGGAGGTTGAAACTGGTTTGTTTCTTTTGGTTGTTTTTTCCCCTGTGAAACCTTGTGTAACTGCTGAGAAGCCTGTTGCTCTGGGGTGGCATGAAGCAGCCCCCCTCGAGCATGGCAGGGTGGGTGCCACTGCCAGCTGCCAAGTCATTCCTGGCTTTGTGGGAAAAAACATCACGGGGAAAAAAAAAAAAACAAGCTTCGAGAGAGGAAATGGGTGAGCTCTGACGCTATTTTAACTACTTTTCCCCCATCTTTCAGACACATGGAGAAAAAATGGCTTCTTCTCTGCTGCTCTGTTCCTCTCTTCACACTCTCGCTAGCCTTGCAGTAACACAACTCACCCTTGCTGTGGCTTGCTATTATCACATATACACACCTGCAGGAAACCGTGATAACCCCCAGCCACAGTGCTTCCAGTACAATTATTTCCTGACACCCAGGCCAAGAAGCACCTCGTGTTGGCCAGATGTGGGTTCCTGATACAGACCTCCCCCTTGCATCCCAATCCTATCCTCCCTCACCACTTCAGTCCTTCTTGAAAAAGCCTCAAAAAGAATATTAATTCTTCCTGCTGAAGTTATGCTTAGGAGCCCTGAGCTGTCAGACGTGGCCAGCCGCTCGGACGAGCTCTCCTCCTGCCTCACCGGGGTAATATCACACACCTACCAACACACCCTGTGAGTCCCTGCACCCCCCTTCAATCTGAGATGCACTCATCTCTGCTCCCCGGGCTCTACATGTTATTATCCAGCATTACCTGTGCTCTCAGAGGGCAATGAAGCAGAGCACAAGTGTCTGTGCAACTCCTTCACCCAGGCAAATGCCACTGCAGTGTTTGCTAAGGCAAGGCTCTTTTCTCCCATTTGTTTCTCTACCTGTTCCAGTGGAACCAAAACTGTATTTCAGCAGATTTCAGCTGTTTATGCAGAGGAGCTGGGGGAGTTCTGCAGCCTGTGCTGTGGCTGTGAAACGGGTTGTGGGTTACTCTCTGCAGAGAGGCTCCACCGCAGCTCACCATTGTGATAGACTTTGTTTCACAGAGCAGTAATCCTCTCTTGACTGTTCTCTGTAACCAAACCCCTCCAGGTGTCTGTTAAAGCCGGGACTCTCTTCCATTCTCCAGAGCTGCAACCTATTGCATGATGGATCAGCCTGGCTAAATAGAACTGCTCTGGTAAAAGTTGTGCAGCTTATCAAGCTAGCTGGTAAATATAACTTTACTGAGTAGGTATCATGTTCAGGAGAGCCATTCAGTGTTGCTGCAACTGCTGGGACAGGGCTGCATATCTGTTTTCCTCCACAGGGAAATGAAAACCAGTTAAATAACTATGTGATGACAGGTAAGGAGGTATTGATGGGCAGAGGCCTAGAAAACAAGGGGAAAGAATATACTAATTGTGATGAGAGAAGCAGCAGCAAATACCAGTAGCCACAGGGCTAGTTCAGCTAAAGGAAGCAGGTGAGGCCAAGGAGGCAGATGCCTGTGTGCTACAGGGAATCTCTGTGGCATCAGAGAAGTGATGGTGGGAGGACATCTCCAGAGGTTTCTGATCTCTGGCTCAATCAGGTCACCGTGATTTTGTCTGACCAAGTCTTGAAACCCCCCAAGGGTGGAGGTACTGCCACCTTTCTGGGTACCTGTTCCAGTGCTGCATTACCCTTCTGGTGAAAAAGTCATTCCTGCAGTTCACCCTGAATCTGCCAAGCTTGAACTTGTTGCCACTGCCCCTTGTTATATCACCTGCTACTATCAAGAAGTCTTTGGCTCCATTATCCTTGTAGCTACCTGTCACGTCCCGCTCCAACGAGGGGGACAAGTGACTCAGATTCGCAAATCCCCAATTAGAGCAGACAACAAGTCTCCAAGTTCAAGCATTTATTAACTACCTACAATGTACTAATTGAACACATGATAATTGGCCAAGTACAGAGCAAGCTGTGGCGAGCAATATAATATGCTTTGCATTTCTTAACAGAAAAAGGAATAGAGGGAGATAGAGGGAATGGGGGAATACAGATCACCGGTCTGGGTTCCTGCGCTGATCCTGCTGGCGAGGATTCCAGGAGGCAGCCATCTTCTTCGCTGGCATCCGTCTTTGCTTCACTGCTCTCTCCAGACGGCCTGGGGGGGGCAGGAAGAGGGGCAGAGAGAGAGCGAGAGCCCTTTCTTCTCCCCTTTGATTTATACCCACTTTTCTTGGGTCCATCCCCTAGGTCAACCCACAGACCTACGTATCCCATGTACAGGGAGGGGTAAGGTGTTTCATGGGTTGATGTAATTAGCATGATCATGACAGCCCTCGTTAGCATAGTGAGGGGTGTCAACTTTAATATGCATTTCGTGGATAATGAAGCAAAGTTCATTCACCGGACACATGGCCCTTGAAATCTGCCCAGGTGCCCCAGAGAAGAGCCGTCCTGTCTCCACAGGGCTCTCTCCCCCAGCTACATCGGGCAGCGTTATCAGCTTCGGCCTCCACAGAAAGCACCCTGTGACTCATGGTTTTGTCTTGGGAGTGTTTGAGGCATTTCTTCAACCAGCCTCAACTTTTGCTTTCCCAGGCTGTTTGTTTTAGTTTCTCACAGGCCTGGTTGCTTGGCTCTCACACTACCTTCCAGATATTGGTAGGAAAGAAATTATGGACAACTAATATGGGATGTAAACTAGCTATCACGCAAGTAACAGAAATATGGTAGAAGAACAGTAATATCTGGTATTAAAATATTCTCTGTTTAGGACTGATAGAAAGGAAGATAAAAATAGTGCATTAGTATCATATGAACGATGTTATACATTGTTTAGATGAAACTCAGAAAGTTAAAAGAGGCTTTTGTCTGGTGCAGCTCCGTGTCAGCTGTGAACTGCTCAAGTTTGTAACTGGTTATATAGGGAGACAGCTAATATTAAAAGAGGTAAATCCCAGTAAGCACTATGCTGCCTGGGGAAACTAACTTCAGAGCTATGGAACAGAGAATAATCTCTCATGATCATAATGGGCCTTAGGTCTCTAATTCCAAAGATGACAGATGACAAATTCCTTCACAAAACCATCACTGAACCCACAAAAAGATTTATTAGTTGTAAATAGCGATTAAGTCATAGAGCAGGTGGTCATCAAAATTAAATCTGGAGCATGTGATCATAATTTCCTTACTTATAAATTAAGTGGGAAGCTAAATAAGAATAGGCCTGTACTGTACATGCAGGTTCTGTTTTAAAAGAAATTAAAAACCAATGAATTAAGAAGAATCTTTCATGTGGACTTTAGCGGTAAGGAAACTGAATGTGAAATATGTCCAGAATTTCTGAGAGAGATGCACAGTGCCTGTGGAACTTGCAGCCAAGTAAAGAAGAAAAATCCCTCTGTAGCTATCTGGATGAACAGCCACAAGGTGAAGAGTAAGGAGAACGATTGGCAAAGAAAACTCTTCTTCAAATGTTGGTAGATATAATGTAATGTCAATCTGCAAAAAAAGATTTTTTTAAAAAAGAGAAGGTTTTTCATATACATAAGTAACTGAACCAGGAAGGAGAAAGTGGCTATGCAAAGAGGAGGGTGTCAAAATTAAAAATAATTGTTAAAATTAAATGAATATAAAATAGTCTTCAACCAGGAAAATTATAGTAAAGTGTGGAGCAGAGAAAAGGAGTGTAATGAATATGAGGAACTATCACAACTGCTTTGAAAACAGAAAACATACATGTGATGAAACTAAGAACACAAGCTAAGACTTGGATTTTGCTGGATTTTTTAAAACCATAATAATTTTTATTCTTAAGAAAGCAACAAGGAGTTACAGACTTTTGCAAAATAACAAACACGGTTCAGATAAACTTTACCTTATCTGTGCTCACTCAGTTCTGGGAGTTGGAGGTCTGACAAGTAATTTCTTCCTCCAACCTGGACTTGCGGTACATGTCAGCAGGTAACCTACCCTTTCACCCTTTAAGAATTATCATCTGCCTTGTGTTACTCTGTGACACTGATGGGGAATTTCCAGCCCCTTCCTCAAGGAGAAGCATTTATCCAGAAAGTCTGTTGTTGGCAGCAAATGATCAGAGTACAGGAGCATCAAAATCTGTGATTCTTTGTGGTTTTACCATGGCCTCTCAGCTCATGTTTTAATGATCCGCTGCTGAATACTCTAACCCAGAACAGAGGCTGTGCCAGAGAGTGAGGTCCACTGTATAAATTACAATTCAAAACAGAGTCAGCGTTTTAACTGAGTTCACCAGGCTCATTCAAATATCTTACTTTGTCAGTAGAAACCAAATAAAAGAAACGCTCCACTCCCCTTACATCTCTGTTCTCCTAAATGTCACTCCTATTCTCCTAGTGCCTGAACCGTTTCCTCCTAAAACATTTGCAGCTGCATCACCTCTTCCACATCCCACTTCCCTTCACTGGTGTGCCTTTTTACCATTCTCCATTTGCTTCTCCCCATGACACCTACAGTCAGGCAGGTCTCCTCTATCCAAACCTATTACCTTTCCCGTTTCTTGTCTTTCTGCTCTGTCATCCCAAGCCTTTTTGCCCTGCTCTGACATCTCTGATTTCCACAATGCCATCATTTCTGTTCCCATTCTTCAAACAAGTGGAAAAACTGCAAAACACATCAGCCTGGCATGTGTGGAGTATTGCTCTTGCCCTGTACAAGACATGTGGGCCGCACAAACGGGGTCAAAATCATGAAGGTCTGGAGTGTGTGATCTGGACCAAGAGCAACCTCAGTTGCCAGACTTGGGTCCCCTTTTCCAGTTCAGATACTGCCACAGCAAAAGACCTGTTTTGAAAAACACCAAATTCCCAGTTTTTTCTAATCAAATCCCTCAAGATGAAATTTAGTAAGAGTTTTAACTTTCTGTTGGTCAAGTTACAAGCTTAAACTAGGAGCCTAAGGGTTTGCTGAACCCAAATTGAAGCCGCTCACCTTTTACCTAAAAGCCGCTCACCTTTTACCACCTCACCAAGATGAACAGAGCAGGAAAATTCGGTTCCTTGCAGTTCTCCAAAGCTTCTGCTGACTCTGTTAACGAGCAGGACCATCAACATGGATCTAGCTTGGCATACATCCTCCAATTAATTAAACTGCATCTGACACCAGACCACAGCTCTCTGCTAGTGTTAAATGTGAGTTAAAGTAAGAAGTGGCTACCAGCTGGCATTTGCCAGATGGCTACACACTGGTATAAGGGTGATATCCACTTCCCTCTACAGCTTTCCCTCTTGCAGGTGGTTTAACTAGACTGACCTGAAGACGACTGGATTTTCAGCTTCTGCTGTGTATGCTGAAGGTTACTTAAGCAAATTTGCTGTTTACAGAAGGGTACATACATATTGACAGGGGCGAGTTTCTCTCTTTCTCCCTCTGTGAATTAACAGCGTGTGTCTCTCCAGCATACCCTATAGCAATACCAGAAGGAAAATGATCCAGTCTCCTAGACGTTGTATGTGCACCCTGGCTGATCCCAAGAGGTAGAGGTTGTGACGTTGCTATCACTGACCCACACCCTAATTCCCGCATTTGCAAAGGTTGCATCCTCCCTGTAGTCTGACGCCTCCTGGGCGAAGGGAAGGGGAAGAAGCAGGATCAGTGGTAATAAGGCTGTAACCGAAGTCACACAATCTCCAGGAGCAGGGAGATACCAGAGCTAAATTCTCTGGCATCAGCAGAAAGAGGCTAGAAGTGGAATCGCAGCAGTGCCAGTGACACTGCCACTAAAGGTAAAGTGAGCCCAACTCATACCTAGCACAAGCCATGATTTCAGAGCAGCTACACCAGTTTACAGCAGGTAAGTGGCTGATCAGGTGAGAGATGGTTCACAGGTTGAAATTTTTCATGGTCTCTTACACCAGCCTTGAACACTGACTTACTCTGAGACCCTATTGTTTAAGCAACTTTTTTTTCCCCCTCCCCAGGTTATCTATAATTTTGTGTGGCTCCATTTTTAAGTATCCAGCATAGATACTGGCACCTGAATTTTGGACATGTATTTGCAGCCAGTGTCTTCTGCAGCTATAGTTGGGTGCTCAGCATCTTTCAAAATCAGGTACATGATATGCAGAGGATGAGGCCTTGATGTAGAGACCAGTCTAGGAAGTCTGGCTGTATGTTCTCACTTCTGTCAACTTGTGTAAAACAGAGTGATAATATTGGGTGACTTCTACAGGGTGTTTTGAGGACGGGTGAGTTTTCGTAAGCAACTTTAAGGGATGGCCAGTTTGGTTTTGCACAGTGGCTGAAGGATCAGAGCACCCAGCTTTAACTGCTCCTGGCCCAGCTTAGGTTCCCTGTGTTCATTCACTTCAGTTTCCTCTGCATAAAACTGGGATGTACCTGTTGTGTTTTCAGCAGGATACCTGCACAGACAAGTTTATTCTTATGGGTAAAGCATTATGAGACTTCCCAGAAAAAATCTCTAAAGGCAGAAACCAGAATAGCATTAAAGAAAAAAAAAGTGATTGCTGCTACTCCTGCTCCTGGGACCAATCCACTGTCTCCACAACTCAGATGATATGCTCCTGAGGGGTGTGTGTCTGGAGAAGAAAAACATCCTCACATGGTTATAAATCTCACAGGGACCACTTAAGCTGGAAGTGTAGTCAAGGACGAGCTGCACTCAGCATGGTTTTGGTCACCACACAAGTCATGCCTTCCATTACCAAGCTCTCAGCTCAGGTTCATCAGCAACCTTTATGGTTGAGAGAGGGCTCCTTCTTGCCTAGCCACCTCACCCCAGATCTGCACCAAGACTGGGGATGGCGAGTACCGTGTCTGTCCATCCACCCGGGCCAGTTTTCACCTGGCCAGCCCAGGCTAGGAGATCAGTGGTCCAGGCCAGCAGATGTCCCGGCTCCTGGCGAGTTCCTCCTGCTTGAGATGGTGAGATGAAAGCCAGACCTTGTGTCCTGAGATAGCACTTCTGACTATGAACTTAAAAAAGAAAGGGGTGTGAGTCGGTGCTGCTGTGTCTCTGCAGCGGCTGTAAACTGTTGAATCGGTTTAACAGCCATTTCAGAGGGATCCCACCCACCACCACAACTAATAACCAACATTTCTAACTAGTGCCTCTGAAATGGGTTTAAATAGTGTAATAAGACACATGCTGTTGGTAACATGCCCACTTGCTCTCATCTGTTGCCTCAACAAGCTCATTCTGTTCTTAAATTAGTGTATTTATTACAAAATAAACCAAATCCTAACCACCCTTCTGCTCTGTAAAAAAAGAAAAAAAAATCTTATACTCCAGCCCATTTAACTGAAGCAAACATTACCCATACCATTACTGAATGGATTGCTGGCTGAATGCAATATCTTTTACAGAAAATTTCTTTGACATACTGTTTCCAGTTGCTTACAATTACAATTTGCAATTTACAATTGCAAAACTGAGTAGGTGTGGCATTCTAAAAACAACTTCAAATATTCTTTGATGGCTTCAATGGATTTTTAAATAAACCAGAGAAAGTTATTAACTGAAAAATAAAAAAAGCCAGTTGAGCCCCAAAAACTGTTTGCTACTTGGTTATTTCTAACAAAGAGCAAGTTTGTTTGCTTTGGTTTGGTTTGAATGCTCTCATGAGCTCAGCTTTAAGCTTGCGCTCAGCTAGGCATGCTTGCCTGAATTGGGGGCCTAAATGATGGTCTGTGGCTGTGCAGTGAATTCCTGAATTCTCACTGGAGTTCTCATGAATTCGTTTAATTTTGGGGGGGTCCTTTTCTTTTGACCATGTCTCAGAACAGATTAGCAGTCCCTAGATCTGCCAGGCAGGAGGGCATATATACCTGTGCTCCCAGAACTTGGCTTTCCAGCCAAACCGAAGGTGCTTCAGACCTAGTCAAGCTAGGTTTATTAACTGCTCTTGCTTCCCTCAAGGACATGGTACAGGACCAGCAGCCTACCTTCAAGGTTGCAAAGGTGCTGTTTTCAAACAAGATCCTTACTGCTTTCTTTGGGGATGCCATATTAAGCAAGGAACAGAAACATAAGCAGAAAGCACATGATACCAGTGAGCAGTGGATGAAGTCTGAACAATTAAATGAATTCAGGGGAAAAAAAAAGATGCAGGATGTTTCAAACACAGCTGGGGAAAAGTCAGTTTTGTACATCCAAAGGAGCGTTGGAAGCAACAATCTTTACACCCAAATTCCCAAATTTCTTTTCAAGGGCTCTGAAAGGAGCGTGGTGAAGAGGAAACAGGTTGTTCAGACTCTGCGCTTGAAAGTAGAAACCAAAGTCTTTCGAGTCTGCTCTCGAGATTCACACATGCCTGTCAGCAGCACGGGGTCTGTCTTGTGCTCCACTTGGTAGAAGGGACAGTTCTTCAGGTGCTCCGACATGCATGTGATGTCATTGCGCTGCCATTTGTTCACTCTGGAGAACAGGCTGCTGAACTGCCAAATCTAATACATGAAAGGAGAGAGAAATTAGGGAGAGAAAACGGGAACGTTGGTAAAATTCCCATTTTCCATCTTAGAAAGGATTTTAAAAAGCTGTATATGTTTATAGAGGGTGTGCATTACTCGTACTGCGCAGGCTAGAGAACATCTGTGCAGGGCTAGCATAACAAGCAAAAATGGGATCTGTATTGTTATGTACCTCGTACTTGCTGGTTTTGCTGCTTTAGTCATCACCTGCCATTTTTAATGGGAAAGTATCCTTCTACAGTTTTTGGTGTCAATCCAGTGCAGGGCATGAGGAAATTCAGGGCACCTGACCACCACACCTCTACAGAAAACTCTGTTGCATGTACAGTGTGATTCAAGAGGTTTATAAAGCAAAGTGGCTACAGCTTGCTTGTGTGATACACATCTCAAAGAAACCTGACTTCATAAAGACCTTCCAAAGCATCTTCAAAGATGACAGCAGTCATTCAAAGTAATTAACATTACAACACTGTTGGTATTCACCCCACCCCAGCACAAGCCTGGGAAATCTGTGGTTAAATTTATTCCTAGAGGACATACAAGCTTGTGAAAAACAGAAATGTGCAGTTAAAATCTTCCAAATCTCTTTTCAGTGATACCATGTACCATTTAGTGATATACTAGCATGCAGTGACAAGGCTGTGATTAAGTAGCTTTAATATTTGCTGGATACCGTTAAATCAACTGGATTTTTGAAGTCATAGTGGATTTCTTCTCCCTAAAAGTGTTTCTTCCTGTGGAAGAATGACAGTATGTGGGTGTACTATGCTTAAGATTACCTGACCCTGTCTTAGTCCTAAATAATCATAGCTATTATACACAGTAGTCAAGAAATTCGGACTAATTACAAACAGAATGTTTTCAAGCAGAGTCTGTGCATTGGAGACAAAATTCCTGTGTGGCCAGTACAGACAGCTAACCTGAAAAGGGTTAGATAGTCCTTAAATTTAATGCTGCTAGTTTGAAATTGTGCTAGAACAACTGAAGTTAATAGCTGTATCATTGCTCAGCCAAAATGTCTTCCTTTGACTGAAGGAAGCCACATCCTCCAATAAATTATTTCAGTGGCTAATTCCTGTTTTGGATTGGGCTAATTCAACCTGCAGCCACTGAACTGTGTTACACAGATTTCAAATTCATCACGCTTCAAGTTTTCCTTTGAAAAAGTAAAGAGCACCTTCTCATAATAAACTGCTGAGCTTCCATTTGATAAGAATTGATAGGTGGAGATCTTCAGGGGTCTACGTGAAAGCCAGGTCCTTAGATAATTTTTGGGAGACTTCCCTGGATCTCTAAATTATTTGTTCCTAGATCTCTGTCTTGTCGGCTTGGTCATGCTGGAGTCTCTCATGTTATTCTTTCAAACAGTTTTATGTTAGAGCAGAAAAAAATCTGGAATAACTATTGTTCAACCAAGATTTAGACTGAGCTGTGATTACATATTTCTTTCGGACTACCTAAACAGCCAATAAGGGTGGTAATTCTCCAGCACAAACAGTGGGAGATCAGCTTTGCTATCCCCACGCTGCTCCCTCAGGTGCTCACAACCCAACAAGTCATGGCAGTCCTGTGAACTGTAATCATGAAAGCTCTTGGGGCTTGATGTGAACGCCTGAGCTCCTTTCACAGCCATATTTCCTTGTTCTTTACCTTTTTGGCATTCTAAATCATGTTTTAGTTTTGACATGTGCTAGATCAGCTTGTAAAGAATGAAAAAATGTATGAAATTCAAGTTCTTCAAAAATCCATGTGTAACCCTTAGGTATAAGGAATACTCAGTTCCTGGTGTCTAAAAATGGTGCACATGCAAACAAGTTACCCAAGACAAGCTTGAGTGGGGACTTTCAGCTAGTCACAAGATGTCTGTTTACACTGTCCTACCTTTGCTAGAGGTACTGCATTTTACAGCCCTGACCCCTGACAACTGCAGATTCACAACCTCATGAACCTTCCCCACATCTGCATGCTTATATGCAGCATCTCTTGCTACACTTGTGTTTTATCTGGAGAGAACCCATGACTGTCTTTTTCCAGGTGTCACCATCACTTGCCTTTTTGCGAGCTTTCCATGAAGTACCACCATGGGAATATCTTTTTTTCTCCCAGATCAGCAGGACCATTCCCCTCTCTTGAAGAAGAGTGGCACAGATGTCCCTCATCAGCACTGACACTTGTGATAACTGAGATAAACTGAAGCTGTCCAGGAACCCCGCAATATACTTGAGCACTTCCACTGGGAGGCTGCTCAGCAAGTCCTTATTTCTCCTTTGGTTAGCCACTGTGGAATTGCACTTCCCTGATTCAGCAAGGAGGGTGTCCACCTCTGGCTTAATAGCAAATGTCTTGAGAGGCCTGCTGTATATAACCTTGGCCTTAAGTCCATCAGGGCGGAAGTGATTTTGAACAAAAGTACATCCCAAGTAGGCCAGTGGGCATCGATGCTGGAACCATCCATCCAGACATGACTGGATATCAGCGTGCACATTCTTGAAGTGGGATGGGAACTCGTCCCTCCTGAAGAAATGACTGCAAGTGAATGTGAAAGCTGAACTGCTTTTGTTGTGTCTTCTCGTCACACATTCAGTGTAGAGCTCCACGTGGAGTTCTGGTGGGCTTTCCTCATCCAGAATATCTGCTAGAACGGCATTGGAGGAGAAGGGCTCCAGAGGAAAGCTGTATGTCTGTGTTGCAAAATCCACAAAAAGTCCATCGATACCCCTTGCTTCAGAGATCTCATGGCCTTTCAGCTCTTTTTCCAGCGCACACAGAAGTGTGGCTTCTACTATATTTGCCTTAGGTAGTTCTTCTAGGTTTATTCCCAGTTCTGAGGTATCCACTGACTTGTCTGAAGTTGGCATCTTGTGGCCCAGTGCATCTCCTAGTCGTGCTCTTTTGCCACAGTAACTGACTGGCACTTTGAAGGTGTAGACAGTCTTCACCTCCTGTGCTTCCAAGTTCCCATAGACAAAGTCTTTTTCTTTGGGAGTGCAAGCAGCTAGCTGGCCAAAGCGGATGAGCATTCCCCCATGATGTACCAGATACATGTTGTAATCACCTACACCAACTTCCTTCTTCAGCCTCTCCAGGACCCCTTCTTGCCAGGGAGCCAGTCCTGTCATTTCTGTGTTTGGTGTTACTTGTTCAGGATTTTGGTCCTTTGCCTCTTCTGCACCACCAGGTACTTCCTTTGCCTTCTCTGCAGAACTGGCAGCATGAGGGGCTGATGCTGTTTTCTTGGAAGCCTCCTCTGTCTTTTGTCCCGTGCGGGCTGCTGAGCCTGTTACCTTGCAAGCCAGAAGCTCTTTGCTGAAAATGTTCTCCCAGGTTTTGTAACTCCCCAGATCCATTCCCTCTTTGTCCTTTGCCAAATCTTCACGATCACGTTGGCTGAGCTCGGACAACTGGTTGTCACCTTCTTGTGAACCACAGACTACTCCTCCCACAGCACCTTCTTCACCATCCATGGCTTTGTCCATTAGCTCTACCACTTCAACCTTTTTCCTCCACTCTGGAAACAAGTCAGCTATTTTCAAAGTCCTGAAAAGTATCTTCTGGTCTCTGAGCGCCAAAGCTGTGTCCAGACACTCTTCGTTCAAGGTCTCCTTCATGATGTTCTTGTGGAGGGTTGTGTCTGAATCCACATTTGGCCAGCGGTTCCACTCCATCGAGCAGCAGACAACACTGGCTGGACAAACCTGGAGGTGTTTCGCCAGCTTAAAGCGAGCCATGGAAAAAGGGCAGCCATAGGCTGAGTTGAGGCAGGAGACCTGCTCTAAGGGACAGAGCAATTGGTGCTCCTCTTCTTTGCACATGTGGAAGGTGGCCCCGCAGTGTAAGCGGCAGCTGATCATCATGCAGGAGACGGAGGGCTCAACTGGCGCGCGGCAGTGCCGGCTGAAACATCTCTCACAGTGCCTGTGCTGCCCAGGGCGAGCTTTCTGAGCCCGGTGCTGTGTGTAGCAAAGAAAAGAAGACAAGAGTTATTGCCCAAAGGAGCAAGGATGGCCACAGACTATCCGTGCCTGTGCTGGGTTTCAACATGTGAGGTGCTCACATGCATGTCTAGCGGGAATAAGACTGTGGGCAAATCTCTGCCAGCTCCATACAGTTACATATCAGTACTGATCCCTGCAGCACAGTGTGGCCTGATAGCAGCACAGATATAAGTAAGGTCTTTACTCTTTAGCCCAGCAGAGGCAGCCAGGGTTTGGGAGAGAGCCGTTTTCTGTCCCAGTATTTACACTGGGTCTATCAATACTGAGCTGCTGAAATCGAGTGCCAGAGGCACAGCAAGTGAGCTTCCCACTTCCACAATACTGCTTGAGGAGGAAAGATGATGTTTCTTTCACCTCTGTAGAAAAACTAGCTGGTCGTTTGGCCTACATGTCTTGTCACCCCCCCATAAAGACCTTGTGCAAATGAACTTCCCTTTGTTCTACGCCAGCAAGGCTGAGAGTGAAGATTATCTTCATGATCCCACCTTCCAGTGTGGAAAACAGCCTGGGTAAAGGCTAAGTTGCCTGGCCTGCTTTACTCTGCTTTCCTGATTTACCCTTACACTCCTAGATAATGCCTGCATGTTGTGGAATAAGGGCTGGGGGGGACTTTCCTCCAGGCAGGTTATTAGCTACATCTACTTTCAGGTGTCAAAACCTGGAATAAGGCAATGCCTTGGTCTGCACTTTCGAGAGAAGCTCCAGAGTGCAGTGGAGGCTTGTTGCAAGGTTATAGTCACCCAAATAAATCAATTTTCTTTCACTTTTTTTTTTTTTACAAACTGCCTTTCGTCTTTCTTCCCCTTGCCATCACCAGTGAGTGATGAGTAGATCGGAAGGTGTGTAGTTAGGGCAGAAGAGGAGTGACAAAGGTCTAACCTCAGCAGAGCTTTTCTCTTCCTGTGATGGTGCAGGGAAGAAGTCAGCCCGAGCATTCCTTTTACAAGGTGTCTCTTTGAGAAAGAATCCATTTTTCCTCCTTTGGGATTTGTTTTAGAGCATGATCCTACAGAAAACGGTCACTACTGCTCTAGTTTTTCAGTTCACCCTCCATACTTCCAACAAGTCAGTGTCACACACTATCCAGAACTGAATAGGTGATCCTGAGCAGATCATATGTTAGATTCAATTTATGAAGGTGTTAGTGACACCTCAAGGGGCCAGAAAATAGAGAAAGTGGTCCCAGGCAACAAGCAATAAACAATACCAGTCTCTGTTTCATATATTCAGCTGCCACCAGACAGCTCCATGAATTTAACGTTTTGCAGTCAACAGACTGGATTAAAAGAACAAGTTGAGGTTGCCAAACCAAATGTTTCAGAAATTTCCAACAGCTTTATTACACAGACAGGTTAAATGTTTTATTGAGGAAGACTGCATTTCTGTTCTCACACTTCCATATTAATGCGGTTTCAAAATATATATAATTTTTTTCCTCTCCTCCTCTTAAAAACCTTTGCTATATAAAGGACATACAATTTTCCTGAAGTCCAACAACAAAAAGCAGAAGTACAAGAACATGATATATGAAGATCCTTATATAAAAAGTTGTCAGTACCAGATTACTAGCTTTGTGTCATGATGAACCACTGGCTTGGTTTCATTATTGTGTTTTTCATTATTTCCCTGTTAATTAAATCAGTTTAATGTAAAAATAATGCATTTATGAAGTCTGCTTTCAAAAGTTCCCAGTTCCCCTTGCTTATAATATCTCTACCCTTGCAATAATTCCTGGCAATACCTGTTAATCCTTCCTAAAAATGGGAAAACAAGCACAGAGTCTGACAGCAAGTAAATGGAGATGGTGATTAGGATGAGGCATGTTTTCTGTTGTAAAAAATCTAAGGTATGACATTCTGTGTCATACCAGCAGTCTTCTTCAACAGTGTCCACAAGAAATGCTGTTTAGGGTGTACATGTAGGACCCCCTGTGGTCCTTTCCCTTTATACACAGTTGTTGAATTAGAGAACTAGAGGCTGCTTAGTCACTACTCAGAGCTACTTCCTTGGATACCTTCCACTGGTATCAGTAACTTGGCCCAAAGAAGAGCTGCTTCAAATAGAAAACTCCTGACTTTCTACTCCGTACTGTAGGGACTGCAAATCTTTGTGGAAGGGAACAAGCTAATAATAAGGAGGAACTGGAGTTCTGTTTCCAAACAGGACTCAGGGTGCTCTTTTTTTGTCAAAACGAGAAAAAGATTTTTGACAAGTCTTCCCACCATGCTTTCTATGCAGTGGGGACTACTACAGGCCCAGCAGACTCTCATTTGGTTCTGGGAAAAAAAGAGAAGTTGTTAGTAAAATAATTTAGACTTTGTTTTTTTCCTAAGGTTAGAAAAAATACAGTAGTGTCATTTACCTAGATATGAGTGCTTTGCAACCCCAGGCTTAAGTGACCTAGCCCTGAGGAGGGCTGTGCTGCAGAGGAAGTAGACTCAGGCTCAAGGGGAAGAGATGTTATGTGAAGCTGCTTCCCCTCGCTTTGTTGAAGGTACTGTCTTTACTCCTCTTTCACACTTTTGCACCCCAGCAGTGGAAGTCATGGACAACACTGGAGAAGGAAAGATGTCTGGGAAAGGCAGTGCTTGTGGGTTCCTGCAGTCACTAAACACCACATACTTGCTTTTGATTTTGGTGTGTGTTAATTGCTCAATGCATCTTCACTCCATCCTTTGCAACTTTCAGTGCTGACCAATACCTGTTTACACCTCCTAATGAATCAACCCCATTCCTCATTGGTCCTGCAGAGTAAAGGAACACGTCCTTGTTGGTCCCTTTACCCAGGGACAAACTTACAGAGTATAAGGCTTGGGTACCTTCACCTTTGTTTGCATGAAAAGAGCTTGAGAGAGCAATGCACAAAATTAGTATTTTGTGACTATTAGAATATTAGAACTAGTAGAACATTCTCTGCCTTGCCTCGGGAAGCACTGACTTCTGCATAGGGGTGACACCAGGGTGCTGCCCTGAGTGGACTCAGACACATCCAGCCCTTAAATACATGTGTTTTAGACTGGCATCTATCCTGCTTTAGGCTGTTTAGTGACATCTACTTTTATGTAGCTCAGAGAAGCAGGAGATACAGATGGATTTATTTCACATTGGCAGCATCCTTGCTGCTGTCATTCTTGTAACATTTTGCTGCAAATATAATCTCTAAAAATAGTCCCAGCTACGACTTGCATAAGGTCAGAGGAAGGCTGGGTACATTACACTGCAATGAAAACATGAATGTGTGAACAATACTTTCCACTGCAAAAGTAACTCTCAGAGAGCAATAACTGATAAATAAAAATACATCAGAGGCATGGGCCTTATGGTTCTCCAAAACACAGAAAGGGCTGATGGCAAAGTTTCTGGAGAGAAGCCTGCTTTCACCCTGTTGGCTGCTGAAACAAACCCCATCCGAATCATATGTAGAGAAAGAAAGATATGCTTTGTTTATGGAAAGTGACCATATTGGAGCAATCTAGAATCAGTCTTCATCATTATTCAGGTGTTTTTTAGTCGAGTGTACCTTATCTCTAACTTCTATATGCTGTTATTTTCAGACAAATGATTCCTACGCCTCTCTTCTCATTATGAAATCTGTGAAGCTACAGGACAGGACAGGAAGGAGGGATAGAGAATTTTTCTGATATTGATCAGTGTTTGAATGCTTTTTCTATTCTGACATGCCAGTAATCAGGAGCTCTGTATTTTAACTGATGATCTAGTTAGCTCTGTGGTTTAGTTGATGGTATTATTGTCAGTACACAAACTACAACTTTAAAAACCCTGAGCTGAAAGTTTACAAACTCTTGCCTCAGTAAGTTTGATAGATGTCATCCAAAGGCAGGTGACACACAGATATGTCAGGTGATGAAGCATTTCTCTAAACCTGCACACTTCTTGCTTCCCTGCAACTTGTGAAATTTCCTAAGAGCTGGGTTAGAAAAAAAAAATCACACCAGAAATGCTTACGTGAATCATGTTCAAGCTATTGTGGAAAGAAGGGATGCAAATTACAGTCCACAGTCTGTCCATTTTGGTAAATCTTTATTTTTAGACTATCATGACAGCAAATCAAGTAAGGTTTAAAAATATACAGCTGCTATTTTAACTGCAGATATGTCTGTGTCTGGAGCAGATCTGTTCAGTGACACCAATTTACAGTTTATAAAACCAATTACAATTTATTTTCAATAAATATATGTTTAATTGAATTGCAGTCAATGAGCCAGAACAATACAACTGTTTTCTTATTTGTATTTGCTATATGTGACTGATCATAGGACATACTAAGGGTATACATCATATCTGAGATCTTGCACACAGAATAAAGGGATGCCTCCCATTTTAAGGAACCATCAAAAAAGGGCCATCAGAAACCCCAGATAATTACCTTAAAGAGTGCTGCTTGAGATGAGATTTCAAATGAATGTAAAACAGTTGTTCTAAGATTTACAACATGATAAGGAGCTCTTAAAAACATCTCAGGAAAGTTTGTATCCTGATGCTGGAGCCAAGAATGTTAAAGTTATATATAACAACAGGAAAATATTTTCAAAGACTCTGAATAATTTTGGTGAAGCGTATTGAGAAGATAGGAGATATTCTCTATTTCTTTTAATCCTTGTTATCCAGTATATGGTATTTATCTCATTTTTATCATAATACTTAAATATTCAGCTGAATACAGAGTTACTAATTTCTTTACAGAGTTTTTCAATACATTTACTATCTTAGTATCTGAGGGGGTTCACAACCAATAATGAATTTATCTTTGCAGTACTAGAGGTGCATTTGAGGTTAAAAGATACTATTACTTCTATTTCTCAGGTATAGAACTGAAGTGTAGAAAGATGGAAATAAATAGAATTAAATAAAATATTTATATAAATAAATATTTATTTATATTGGAGATGCTCAGGTTCTGATGTTTCACTTGCATTTGCATGCCTCTTGCACAAAAACCCTGGCAGAGCGAGCTGTAGAATCACATGTTCTAGGAGAGTAAGTCTCCTTAAACTAGAGATTTTCTTCCCTTTCCATGCAGCACTCTTCCTCAATCACTACATACTTAACAACCTCAGCAAGAAATCAGGCTTGGGTCTCCTTTTGCTGAACAGATACATTTATTTCTCGGAGCTGAGGAAGAAAACACTATGCCATTGGAAACCATCCCATCCCACATTTGTACATGTCTCTCAGGAGTAAGTTTTCTAAAGTCCTGTCCTTTGACACAAAATAAACAGCAAATCCAGGAATGCTACCACCTGGAATCACAGTGACACCTAAGTGAGTCAAGCCCAACATCTCAACACCCACAGCAGGGACAGCCACAGTCTGACCGCCCTGGTATGAGGTCACTGTGCTTCATGGTACACCTGTCCTGCATTCACCATTCAGACTGATCTTGCATATACGTGTTGCCAACCAACCTTTAAATGAGTCAGGCAATGAATATGTACAGCTCAGGATAGGTGGAAGGGGAGAATAAAGGGTATAGATTAAATCTTTATCAATAACAGTAATAACCTTCTAGTAAGCATGTGCAAGACAGTTTCTTTGAGGTTCAGACTTTGAAAAGTTCACATGGATTTTATAAGGGCACTTTGATTTCAGGGTAATCCTTCTGGTGAATCTCAAATGCTCAGTATAAGACATGCAGAGTGAAAAGTTTTTCCGTGAGACAACTGACCTGTTAGATTAGCCCAAAGATGGAAGCATGAAGCTGTGACAATTAAGGTAGCTACTCCCTGTATTTTCTAGCTGAGGATCAGCTGGCTGAGGCTGTGCTTTTTCATGGGCGATAACCACTAGTTCAGAGTTACTGAATGGCTGGGAATTGCTTTATACTGAAAAAAAACCCCCAAAAACCGCTTTAAAATAACAGGGATGGAGTAGGTCCACAGTATAGTGGATCAGTCTGGCAAAGACTTAACATTCCTTGTTTTCCTTCCAGAGTATACCTGCTGCTCGGGTTCTCACAGCAACACATCAGCTTCCTTTCAGCTCCCTAAACCTGGAATGCAGGACCACAGAGCTCAAGAGAAGCTGTCGCACCATCACACCTCCCCCTCACCTGGTAAATCTGTGCTGTACACAGGCAGTAAAGTGGCACTGAAACTTGCTCATGCGATTTCTGTCCAGCAAAATACACTCCTGTTGTTACGGGAGGAGTAAGAGAGAGTTCAGAGTAGGGAGTAGTGAGGCAGGGGTAGCACAGGGCTGGTAGAAATCCCGCACTGCACTCCCCCCTATCAGACCTGGATCAGCAATATTTCTTGCTCCTCCCTACCTGGTGCAACATGGCCATAGCTCGCCTGAGGCAAACCCACCCAAAAATTTCAGGTGCTGAAGTGGTCCCCTGGGCTGGTGGTAGGGTGCAGGGCAGGCCAGCAGCAGGATCTTGTGCTGAGCATGTTGGGGAGTCTTGTGGGGAGCCAGGCAGGACAGAGTAAAGGGTGAGGCTGTGGCACGGAGCTGCTCTGCTGCTCCTCCTGCATGGGAGGGGTCCCTGTGCTGTCCTTGGTAGAGACACAGGCAGGCAAATTCTCACTTTGCATCAATTAACTGGGAAATGGGTTTGATTTTGGTTTGAGTTCAGCAAGTGCTTTGAAATAACAGGTTCCAGTTTAGTTCCAGTTTGAGGAAAAAAAAACCCTAACTGTCCAAACTGTGTTTTTCTTTTCCTTTGGGCTCAGGTTCTATTTTATGCCTTGGTAACAATCTCATTAACATACTTTTCTGAAAACTTCTTGAGATAATCAAGTGAATGGTTTTAAGCAAACAGAAGAAACCCAGCCCAAGGCAAATGCACTGCATAGAGAATTTCAGAGCTCTTAGTCGGAGTCTAAGTCATAAAAACAAAAGAGAAAAGATTCCTGAACAAAAATTGTGAAGCAGCTACAACTCTAAGGAATACAGTAGTACCTCTAACACTTGTGATTCTTACTTTATCATTTTATTTTCAGTCTGGCTTACAAACATACAGTTTGCAGTCTGAATCTATAAAACTCACAGGATTTTATGTCTTAGGATTTTTGCCAGAAGATTGCTCTTGCCTCTCTGACCCTTACTGTATCTCCTTGTCTCTCTTCTCTCAGAGTTTCTTGAAAATTAAAGAAATTTAGGTTTTGATTTATCTTCTGACCTGCTACTGAAGCTCCCATCTTAGAATCAGCATCTTAGTTTTTTAAAACCCCAGATACAGTGCTGCAAACTGTGGCTAACCCACTGAATATATTATGGAGGGGGTTTTTTTAGAGTAGCATGTCATAGAAGCATTCACATTCACCAGCTGCTTCTGTTTTAGGGTGTCATTTGAGACATCTTGTGTCTGATTATTCTACTTCATCTTAATTACTAAGGCTGTTTTGAAGATGTCTTGATTTTCATAGCTCGATACAGTAAACATTGCATAAGGTTTGACTAATAAAGATTCCAACTCTATTTACAAAGCCTTACCTTAATCATAGAGTCCCTGTGTGTGTATACTTGCTCTCCTGGTTGTGCTCAGCTGAGTTGAAGTGAGGTGGCTAAGGGAGATCTGCAAGCAAAGAAAGAGGAGAGAATGGGAGGACACGGAGCAAGCCCAGGCAGAAACATCAAGTAGTTTGGGGATGTTAAAAATAAAACCCGTGCATGTGACTGTGTAGCTCAGTTTACAGAGCCGTTTCTTCCACTGTATTTGTTAACACTGTCACTTCTGGAGTGATACTTCACAGAGAAGTTGTGAAAGGCAGTATCAACAATACTCTGTGCCCCCTGCATGAGAGGAAAAGATCAAAACCCTTCCCAGAGCCCTCTGCCAGCTCCCTGCTGCTATCTGATGGAGGTTTGCCCTTCACGACTTAACTCCCCTTGGTGCCCACACCAGTTTGTGGTTTCTGCTGTTGGAATTGTCGCCATGCCCCCGGCTTCCGTCATCACCAACGGGTGCAGACAGAGATGGTGGGTTTCCAATCAGCCTGGGCAGGGCCGGCAGAGAGGGGGAATGGCCCTGAGCTGAGTAGCCGGGCAGATCACCCTGTCTGCCTCCCAGGGACCCCCAGGAGACTCCCCAGATCCAGCCCCTCCACAGTACAGTGAGAGGGTCCCACCAGCCACCAGGTGGAAGCAGCTCTCAGTGTCACCTTTCCTCAGCCAAACTGAGGTCGCAAAGGAGAGAAATCCCTTTTTACCATCAGCGTGGATCCATTAAAGCATTTGTGAGTTTCATTAATTTCATGGTGAGCATTTCCTACTCACGGTGAGTACAGACATATGGGCACATGGCAGTGAGGTTCAGGGGTGCAGATGGGGTGGGCACTGCTTCTCTCTGGTGTGTGCTCACCCTGCCTGGATGAAAGACACCTCTTATGACCCTGCAGCTGTATGCAACCACATTTCACAACCTCAGAAACACAGAACAACTTATTTTGGCTGTGGCGGTGCTGGCTCTGAGATCCTAATTCACGATAAACTTGTTGCCTTTGTCTTCTCTTTCTTTTTCCCTATCTGTGAGTCACCAGTGACTCTGTTTGAAACAGTGCAGGCAACTGTGTTTTCATTTTTGAACAAAATGTCAGTAGGTGACAACCAAGGCTTGCTGGTGCCAATCGTAATTTAGCAGGGCTAAATATGGTTAGCAGTCTGGCTCCATGGCCTTTTTTAGGAAGGGCTGTGATACCATTTTCTGTCATCCCATTGCACTGGGATGCACAGGGGCCAGTGGTAATAGGCCTAAACCCGAATTTGACCCAATCACAAGATGATCGCTGATCTGTTTACTCCATCCACTTCCACCCCTCAACCCCCCTCAGTTCATGGTCATTCTTCAGCCCTCAGTGTTGTCGTCAACTTTTTAGACTGTGTTTAGAAAACATGCTGCTGGCGTGCCTCACTTTTATATGAAGTGAAAATTTCTTCTCAAAATTCAGTATTACTCGTTTAGGAGTAAACACCCTCCAGCTGAATTAACCCAGATCACTAAAATACCTAAGAGCTTCAGAAGTAGCTGTTGACAGAAATGAAGCTACCTTCCCTCTTAATTTTACCGGCACATGATGTCAACCTGGTTTTAGATTTCCATGTTTCCAGGCAGTCTGAACTCTGGTGACATTTTTTACTGTTTCTATGTGTTGCTCGGTGATCACACAGACCCAAACAGCCTGCCCTGGACCTGCCTCACTCTGCTCCATACTCTGCCTCGCAGCCTCGTGTAACGCGAGCCCCCAAGTTTTTCAAATCCTTGCCTGCACATGATGGCCGTACTCCAGAAAGGCATCATCTGTGGTGGTCTTTTAGGGCAGGGTATCACAAGATGCACGGAATGAACATAGTTCACCGTGCCTGAGAACATGTATGTGGTGGAGAGGAGGGAACAGAAGAGTGAAGGCAATGGGTAACAAGAATTTATCCTTGTGCCTGCAGCACACCATCGTATTAGCTCAGCTGCACCTGAAACCAGACTCTCAGCAAAAAAACAAGGAGAACTTGCAGATCTCTGCTGCCACCCTTACCTGTGCTAATTTGATTCAAGGTATCTCAGGAATGCCAAAAGCAACAAGACCTCCTGCTGCAGTACAGATGTGCTTACTGGTGGAGTGCAAGAAATGTGAAATCTCTGACAGAAAAGTGTAACTCATTTATTTTTTGGTGCAAATGCTTTGGGAGAAATCTGTTGTCTCCTTTAATGTCTCATATCTCAATTCTATGGGTAGAAATGCTGTGCTATATAGAAACCCTATGAAATATACCTGTGTATATGATATGTATATCATATATGTATATACATATGATATATCAATACAAATATCTATTGATATGGGAAAATCTGGCCAGATCTTGTAGGCTGAGAGAGAGGTGAGGCTGCTGCAGCTCCATGCCCCCCAGTCCAAGCAGTAGCCAGGCCGAGCTTGTATTCCCAGTAGGCACAGGGACAACTACACATATACACCATATATACATGGATAGCCACACAGAGCACTCACATAAACACAGCACCAGCTGCCTCATCCCACCCACCCCTCTGGCTGAACAGGATGCAGGGGTTCTAGTGAGCATGTGTGTCTATTTATAGTATATATATATATATATATATATACACACACACACATACACACGTATGTGCAGCGTGGCTCCCTCCAGCAGCTGGGCTCAGGCAGGCTGTCCAGTAGCTGCCCCTCATCTCCAGCCTCTTCAGTCCCTCTGGTCCCCCAGTAGCCAGCTCCCCTGTGATGGTCTCACCCCCAGGGACTCCCAGGACCCCAGCCTCTTTGGCAGCTTCCAGGACATCCCTGGTCCCCCTAACAGCCGTCTCCTCCCTTGCAGCCACCTCACAGCCCCCAAGCCCTCTTGATGGCTGCTTCAGCTGCACCCTCCATGCTGCTCACCCACTCGCCCCTGTGCCCAGTGCTGCCCCATGGGCACAAGTCCCTGCTGCTGGCACCCAGACCCCCCCACACCCCTGCACATGGTAACGAGAGTCCCTCACCCCTGTCTCTTATACACAT